TTTACAGGAGTTGATAAGTCACATGAAAACTGAGGAGGCTAATCGTCTGAAAGATAAGGAAAACTCTTTTTTTTCTATTTCTGTTAAAGCTAACTTGGTTGAATCTTTTGTTGCCTATAAAGATAGGTACAAAGCCAAAGGAAAGAAATTCAAAAATAGCGGATACCAAAAATATCCCAAAGGTGATAACGGAAAGAATCACAAAGGCAAAGTGATAACCTGTTTTGAATGTGGAAAACCAAACCACAAGGCATACCAGTGCTGGAATAGGAAGGATAAGAAACTTACCAGTAAGCCCAATAATTGTGCTCCATAAGTCAATGTTGCTAAAAAGGAAGATATAATTGTTGTTGTGGTGGTAGAAGCAAACCTGTTGGAAAACAAGGTCGACTTGTTGTTAGACACTGGTGCCACCAGACATTTTTGCTCTAACAAGGCTCTTTTCCAGGAATTTTGTGATGCAGTAGATGGTGAACATGTCGTCATGGGGAATTCATCCACTGCTATGGTGCTTGGTAAAGGAAAAATACTCCTAAAACTTACCTCTGGAAAAACTTTAGCTTTGAATGATGTGTTATATGTTCCCTCCCTTCGTAGGAACCTAGTTTCTGGTAGTTTACTTAATAAGGCTGGTTTGAAACTTGTGTTTGAGGGTGATAAAGTGATTTTAGCAAAAAATGGGGATTTTGTGGGTAAAGGATACTTATCTGATGGGTTGTTTATTCTGAACTCTGGTCCTATTATTGCTAATGAAAGATTAGCATGGTAGGTTAGGCCATGCAAATTTTGGTTCCATCAAAAGATTGAAAAATATGCATCTTATAAATGCGTCTGATGAAAATGAATATTCTAAATGTACAGTTTGTGTTGAAGCAAAATTTGCAAAGAAACCGTTTAAACAAGTCACTTCCAGAAGCATTGAATTGCTTGAACTGATACATTCTGACTTGGCTGACTTTAAAAACACAATGAGTAAAGGTGGCAAAAAATATTATATAACTTTTGTTGACGACTTTTCCAGATATACTAAGATTTATTTGTTAAAGTCAAAAGATGAGACTACTCAAATCTTTTTAAAGTATAAAGCTGAAATGGAAAATCAATTGGGTAAAAAGATTAAAAAACTTAGGTCTGATAGAGGTGGTGAATATAACACAAATTACCTTAAAGAGTTTTGTGATGAAAATGGTATTATACATGAATCTTCTGCCCCTTATACACCTCAACAAAATGGCATAGCTGAACGGAAAAATAGGACACTAAAAGAAATGATGAATGTTATGTTATTAAGTTCTGGGATGCCTGATAACATGTGGGGTGAAGCTGTTTTGTCTGCATGTTATATTCTAAACAAAGTTCCTCATAAGAAACTGGATAAAACTCCTTATGAACTATGGAAAGGCTTTGCACCCAACTTAAATTATTTAAGGGTTTGGGGATGCTTGGCTAAAGTTGCATATCCAGAATTTAGAAAACCTAACATTGGTTCTAAAACCTTTGATTGTGCATTCATTGGCTATGCTCAAAATAGTGTTGCATACAGATTCATGTATTTGAATGATAGTTCTATTTATGAATCTAGAGATGTTGAATTCTTTGAACATGTGTTTCCTCTTAATAAAAGGATAACTGAAAATGTTGCCTCTTCAAGGGTTAATATGGTAAATAAATCTACTTCTAGTGATCATGTGAATGAACTTAGGAGAAGTAAGAGGAAGAGAATTGAGAATAGTTTTGGGTCTGATTTTTTGACTGCTTTTATTATTGAAAAACCTCATAAAATCAATGAGAAATTTGTTTCTATATTCTTGATTGGTGATGATCCTAAAACCTATAAAGAGACCTTGACCTCTATAGATTCTAGCTTTTGGAAAGAAGCCATTAAAAGTGAATTAGACTCTATTATGATGAACCACAGTTGGGATTTGGTTGATTTGCCTAAGGGTAGTAAACCTATTAAGTGTAAATGGATCTTTAAAAGGAAAATTAGACCAGATGGATCTATAGAAAAATTCAAGGCTAGACTAAAATTGATTATTTTGACACTTATTCTCCTGTGACTAAAATTGCTACTATTAGATCTTTGATTGCTCTTTCAGCTATTCGAGATTTGATAATTCATCAGATGGATGTAAAAACAGTTTTTCTTAATTAAGACCTGGAGGAAGAAATTTACATGGAGCAACCAGAGGGATTTGTAGTTGCTGGACAAGAGGACAAGGTATGCAAGCTTAAAAAATCTCTCTATGGCCTCAAACAGGCACCCAAACAATGGTACGAAAAATTTGATCGTACTTTAGTAACCAATAGGTATGTTGTGAATGCCTCTTATTCATGTGTTTACTCTAAATTGTTTGGTTCTAATTGTGTGATTATATGTTTATATGTTGATGACATGCTCATTTTTTGCTCTAACTTGGAAGTAATAAATGAAACCAAGATGTTTTTGACTGCTCACTTTGAGATGACAGATTTAGGTGAGGTAGATGTTATTCTTGGTGTCAAAATAAGGAAAACTGAATTTGGCTTTTCATTATGTCAATCACACTACATTGAAAAGATACTTAAGAAGTTTGATTGCTTTAATACAATGCCGGTAAGAACTCCTTATGACCCTAGCATGAGTCTTAAAAAGAACAATGGTGATAGTGTTTCACAAGCTGAATATGCTAAAGTTATAGGAAGTGTTATGTATCTCATGAACTATACAAGACCTGATATTGCTTATACTGTAAGTAGACTAAGTAGATACACTCATAATCCTAATAGTGAACATTGGAATGCACTTTATCGATTGTTAAAATACCTTAAGGGAACTATGAATTTATGTTTGCATTTTAACAAGTTTCCTGTTGTTTTAGAAGGTTATTGTGATGCAAACTGGGTGACAGATAATAATGAGGTGAGTTCTACTAGTGGATATGTGTTCACTTTAGGAGGAGGAGCTGTTTCATGGAAATCTTCCAAACAGACCTGTATTGCTCGGTCCACCATGGAATCTGAATTCATTACTCTTGAGCTAGCAGGTCAAGAAGCAGAATGGCTAAAAAACTTGTTAGGTGATATTCCATTGTGGGGGTCTTCTGTACCAATCTCATTGCATTGTGATTCACAAGCTGCTATTGGAGTTGCCAAAAATTATGTGTATAATGGCAAAAGAAGGCATATTCGGATAAGACATGGTGCAGTTAAACAACTTTTGAAGAATGGAGTAATATGTCTAGAGTTTGTGAGATCAGAAAGAAACCTAGCAGATCCTTTAACAAAAGGATTGAGTAGGAGAGTCATTCAAGAGACTTCTCAAGGGATGGGACTTAAGCCTTTGACTTGAAAATATTGTGATGCACTACAGTCCATCCCTGTACTTATTGGTAGTGCTTAAATCCATAACTCTATGTGTTGAGTGGTCCTGAATAGGACTTGATGGATGATTGTGATATAAGTCTAAAGGACTTAATGACTTTATAACTCTATTTGTTGAGTAGTCTACTGTGGTGATAGACTTGATAAAGTTATTGTTTAGATGAGTGTGAAGGTGGGCCGCCTTCTATGAAAGAATAAAATATTTTGATTTCTAGAGCACTCATGGAACCAAGGTATATGCGCAGGGCCTTTAAAAGCGCTTTTGTTGTATCGCGGAATAACATACTTTAAGGAATTAATATGTGTCATGGGGGTCTCAACCTAAGCCTTTGAAAGTTCAAGAACTATTTCACTTTCATTAGCTATGTATTTACCTCATTTCACTATACATTAATTCAATCGAAAGAGATTAATGTTTAAGTAACTTAGTTCCTTCTTGCTGCCCAGAAATGTATTTTTAAACATATAGTCATTTGTGGGAGATTGTTGGGAATATGACTATATTACCTATTCTCAAGCAAGTCTTTCCGAAACTGAAGGGAACATTTTTTTAGTGGTCAGTTTTCATTATTCAAATATTTCTTTGTTAGTTTCTGAAAACAGTTTTATAAATATATTATCATGCCTAAAAGATAGGAAACAGGAAAAGTAATTTTATATATATGAAAATATTTTTTATAAAGATATATATAAAAAATAGGATTGAGCTTTTTCACAAAGAGAAAGTAAGGAACTTTTTCTTATCATCTTTATTTTCTGGACAACGAGAGTCTGTAATTCCAACTCCTTTCACGAGTGCACGAGGGTAGCGAGGTGTTGTGTTAACATTGGGGAGTGAACAGTGTCAATCGGTTGCACCTTGGCTATGCCGGAATTTCGCTTTCAGGACAGTGGTTCTTCCACGGCACAGCTGTATTAATTTCTCTGTTTTACTAAGAAATCATACGTCTTGTTTATTTTACTTATTTATTTGCATTTACCAACAAATCATACGTCTTGTTTATTTTACTTATTTATTTGCATTTACCGACTTATTTTTATTTACATATTTATGATGACTAGAAAACGCAAATTTTTGGGCACTTTGGTTTGTCCGTAGTGTACCGCGAATCTCTGCTGCTGAAGTGCCGATAGAATAAAAACATTGTTAGATGGACTTGAATAGACGACAACAGTAGAGTCAGATGAGTCTTTCTACCGCTACCACCTCGTTACACTTGTATTGTTAGTTTCACGTTCATTGCTATTGTTTAGTTCAGAAGTCCTTTTTTAACTTGTTCATTGCTTGGACATGTAGAGACTTAAATATATCCCTTAGGTATGAACCTTCATATTACATATGTTACAAATTCACGTACGGGTTTCACTAAAACAGGTTGATACATCTTATTCACTTTTATTATATTATATCGTTTATATTTGTGTCTACCTATTAATCTTGATTCCGTGAAATCAAACATGTAAAACATATATATCATGTTAACCGATAGTTTTAACATAATCCTGAACAATATGAGGTGAAACCAAACAAATGCACTGATAAAACTTGGCAAGAGCACTTGCATTATTAATAAGAAAGTACTAGTAGTAGATGTGGCCAACAGAACTTATGTACAGTGCCAAAACTCATATTCGACCTAGGAAGAACTCGGGTGAGTGTGGTTTCCTTCGTAGGTTGTTATTACATACCGAGGGTCATCCTTATCTCTCTCCACTCTCTTCTTCACAGAGCATCCATCCACTGAACACCTATAGTAATTCCTGTGATCAAGCACTTTCAATGATAAGTATGTTACAAACGTGAAGGTAGTTAATTTAGTCATAAAAAGCAAAAACTGAAAACAAGGTTTCCTTAGAAATGTGTATCTTCATCTTTCTGGTTGATGTTTAATGTAGTATTTACAGCTATATATGTTCATTAGGTAGTGGGTGTTAGGGGGAGGCGTTTTAATGCACCTACCCTTCAATTTTCACGTCAAAATCTTAGAATGATGTAGTAGCTGTAGCTTCAAGGTAGATGTGGATCACAGTTAGTATAGAGACATAACCAAACATGCGCTAATTATAGCTGACATGCAAGTATGTGGTTTTATATTTCCTTGCCTTTTCTTCTCTTCGTGTAATTTGGTTTTGTTAATCTATTTTATCAGTTGTTTACGTTTGCTTGATTACCGGCATGATAATTAACCGTTTATTTATATATTGGACACTGTAGTAGAAAAATCTACAAGGTTACCTTCCGCATATACATACCTTTAATTAGCAGCATGATAATCATAGGCATATACATACCTTGGATTGGGGCTGTTCTTCACCATTTTCTTTCCATACTTTCTCCATCTGTACCCATCTTCTAGTACTTCAATCTCTGACATTGTTTTGAATGCAACTCTCTCTCTTACAACTTCCCTATTCACACGTCCACTGCTACCATCTCCTGATATTACACTCATGTTCACATCAGTTAGTAACCATATAAGCAAAAGAGATACAAATATTTGAAAATGTTTATATCGGTTACTTTAGTAATCAATTGAATTAGACGTTGAAAATGGCTAAATAAACATATCTCAAACTACAAAAGAAAACACACTTTCACTCATGAGGAACTACTACATATTTATATATGCTTACTGCTAGAAGATCCCTCAAAGTATCTTCCACCGCCTCCAAACTCACCTACATTACTGGCTTGATGAATCTGGTTTGAGACATTCTCAGAAGCAGAAGACTCAAGATCATCATGCATCCATTGGTTATCTTCGAATCTCAAGTACTCAGAGACCTCAAAAGGCCACTGGTTGGTGAAATCATCACTGTCAGGTGTGTCAGGTGGTGGTCTTGGATTGTTGTCTGTCATTTTGCCACAACCCTGAGTGATATGAAAAGAAAGGATCACGGCGCAGACAATATATAAACGCACGCCACAGTGATAGTTTTATTAGTAAGCCTGCTTCATGGTACCTTCCTATGAGCTACAAATTTAGGAAGTTTCAAAGGTAATGAGAAGTAGTAGAAATATTAATTACACGTACCAATTAATGTCAATGAAAACAAAAATCTAAGAATAGTGATCAATGGAGGACAAACCATGAGTGGGGTACACCTAGGGATGACTTGGGGAAGACTTTCAAGAGATGCTAATGTTGATTGAGCAACAAGACTTTTTGTTAGACCAATTAACCCTTCACAATGCAAGTCCAAGTCAAAAGTAATGCAGGTCTTTTTGTGGTTTAGTGCAAGTTTCTTCGAACCACAAGTCACAGCTTTCATCTGAGCAACTAGAAAAGTGACTTCATCATTCTTAGACCTTCTTTTACCCCTGCAAGTGGAGGAATCAAGCTCTACCTTCTAGATTATCTTTAGTGTCCCATTGAAACTTTAATGCGTTAAGTGCTTGCTCCAAAAAAGGTTAAAAACAAAGAAAATATAGAATGAAAGATAAAATCTGACATGATTCCTCTCTCTCTATCGTTGTAGCAAAATTATTAGACAATAGTTTCATTTTTAACGTACTCTAATATAATAAAGTGATTTTTTACATAGAAATCAGGTTAGGAAATGACCTTTATAATTTTATTTTATTTCATAACAGTTTCAAATGATCTGACATTTTAGTCACTAGAATGAAAATTCTTTGCACTACTTAATAGTGTTAGTGTCAGTCCATATATCATATATTTTCAATTAAATAAACTGAAGGCACAGTACATGTATGTAGCTTTTATTTTATCTTTTTAATATATCTCATTCTATTCCTTGTAGCAAGTTGGTATAAAATGGTTTGATTTGGATGCCTATCAAATTATTTAATAAATTTTTTATTTTCATTGAATTTTAATATATTTGTCATATTTCATATAACATTAGGTTTAATCCTATTAATTATATGTTATAATTTCACTATATTTGTATTTGATATAAAATATATGATATGATAACGAGACACAAGTCTTTCCATTTTAGATTCTCCAACATTTTGGCTTTATACATCTCCTCTTTTGATAAGGTTTTCTACACACCCAACATTTCTGGCCTCCTATCCTGCCCAAAATCTTACTAGTTTTGTTGTCTCAGTCATATAATTAAAAATAACATGATTTTGATACGTTACCTTTTTATTTAAATTCGAAGAAGGGTTTTGTTTAATTTGTTGCCAAAGCATATGCCCTAAGAAGTTTATCTTTACAGCAAATGCTTTCACATTCATACGTCCCAAGTTAGAACAAACATGAGTTTGCGTTGACTTCAGTGTTGGGTTCACAGAGATGTGCATTAAGTTGTGATGAAGAAAAAGAGGTGAAGTTGTACCAAATTCTGGTAACAGGAATCTGAAAAACACACTTGCTACGAAGTTCGTAGGTATCTTCCACGACCTTTCATTTTTGGAGAAACTTGTGGTGATCGATCTTCTTTTGAGCCAATATAAGTATTGAGATCATGTAATTCGTCATCAATTGCCTCAGCATGCAACATGTCTATTCATATGAGATGACCACAACAATAAAACTTAAAAGGTTTATCTTTTCGAGGGTAAAGATGCAAATATTTTACTTAATTAAAGAAAAAAATATATAAAAGATTTGATTATATGTTACAGAGGTACACACCGATTAGGTTAGGTCAATTTCAGTCAGAGCCATTATATTCAATCAAAAAAATTTGGTTGAGTTCGATTTTTATATTTTTTTCATTTAACACAATCCAACTTATCGGATGAGATATATTACGTCACAAATTTTTTAAAAATACTTTTTATTAAAATTTTAATTTTAAAATATTTTTTCAAAATAATTAAATTATTTATTATCTAAATAATTTAATACTTTAAAAATATATATTTATTTAATATAATAATTAAATAAATTAAATGATAAATATATATACTATTATTACTATTAAAATTTATTTATTATTTTTTATTCAATAAATTAGGCTAACAATCCATTTAAAATTGTGTTAGATTAACTTAGGTCGAGTTTAGCTCAATCTCATATATAAAATATAATCCAGAATCAAGTCAATCATCTAACCAATAAACACCCTATAATTCAAATATAAGTAAATTTAAGTTTAATAGTTTTAATTATTTGATAAATAATTTATGAAATACGTTAAAAATTTTGAAATTATCCTACCTAGAACAGATTAACTAATTGGATTGTTGTATTATTAAAATAATTATAAATTAACTAAAACTATTCACTTTGTAAAAATGTATGAATTAAATTGATAGAGAAACTAAAATTATAATGATTAAAACTGTTTGCTTTTAAATATGTATACCAAAAATCAAATATTTCAAAATTTGATCGCAAAAATGAACCAATAGAAAACTAATTAATTTATATAAAAGTTATTTTTCTCTTGAATTTAAATTCCTATTTATTTAATGAATGGAACCTAAAGAAATTAACTACTGTTGTCAATTTATCTACACTCTCTCCACACCCATATTTCTGGGAAGCATCCTCCTAATTTGTTTGAAAAGCTAGTTGAGCAATTTATATGTACATTAATAGTTACATATAGAATGTGAAATTTTGTTTAGTAATAACAAATAATTACATTATAGTAATTCTCGACAGTTTTTACTCGAGGGACTATAAAGGTATGTGTGATTGTTTTTATTTATTTTTTAAAAGAATCCCTTCCTATTTTATCGTTAAATTATTATTATTATTTTTTTAATAACTTTTTATAAATTTCCTTAATATTTTAACAACATTCTAATGATTAAATTTTAAATTATACTGAATAGTTTTTTTAATAATTGTAAAAATTATGAACATATAAAAATATCTCCACCAAATAAATAAAAAACAATAATTTAAAAAATCAACAATAACACCTTCTAAAACAAAATAATATATTTAAAGTTTATTTTTTATATATATTAAAAGGATAATAATAATTATAATAATAATTAAATAATTAATACTTAAGTATGTGTGGTTGAATATGAATATAAGATGAAATTTGAATTATACAAAAGACAATTTTTTCATTTATTTTATATCAACTTAACCGTTTTAAAAAACATAAAATTATATTTTTATGAATATTATTATCGCAAGACTAAGAGTCTCTCGTGAGACCAATCTTTCACTACGCATTTCAATATTTATTATGAATTTTCGAACACTTAATTATCAATGTGTTTGCGCTTCTTGATCTGAAATGTGGTGGATGTGTGGATAAAAGACACGTTAACATTCAACTTCTACGTCTCGTTTAGGTATCTCTAGCCATCACCCAAGTTTAATTGGTAGCTATAATATGTGTTTATTAGGACTTGACGAACATGTGGACACAGTACATGACTGTTAGATTTTAATGGTACAATACAATTATTAATTAAAGGATTAAATCATTAAATGAAAAAAACAAATGTATGAACACTGTGTAACATAAAAATTTATGTTTTCCAAAATATGAATTATCCGTTGTTTACGCATTTAGTGACTAAAATCATGGTTTTTCGAAAAAAGAAAAGTATGGCTTGTGCCATGGGCGACTACGACTGTTTGTTGAATATTCAAGCCCAACTTGATTGACTGAATAATTTTATTTATGAATGAAAGCATGGACGTGGACATGATTTTAAAACCAATCTGCAACCCACACATTATATTTCATTTGAATGCAGGCTACCCTTCTTCACTGTCCTACTTTGGGTCTTTACTTTATACCACAACTATACATGTCTCATTCTGTTAACGGACTTCAAACAATTTAAAGAAAAAAAATCTAAGGACTTATTTGATTTAATTTATTTTTTTTAGTTTTTAAAAACGGTGTTAAAAAACTATTTTGAAAAACTATTTTTGAAAATAAATTAAAAAAACTTATTTAATAATGCTATTTTTTTTAATTATTTTAGAAAAATATAACATAAATTATCATAAAAAACTAATGATAAAAATAAAAATTAATTTTATTATGATATACTGATGAGTCTTATATCCTTAATGTTAGTTTGTATATATTTAGTCTCTTAATTCATTAAGAATCTTTTAAGAATACTATTGACGGACTAACTTTCAAGTAAAACATAGTAATTGATCTTAAAAATAGAATGATAATTAATATAAGACTGGAACATTCTTCTACTTTGACTAAACTTATCAATTTTAATTTTTTAACTTTAAAATAAAAATAATCTTCAACAACTATTTTAATAAAAATTAAAGTGGCATTCACAAAGGCAAAAGTTCATTACTAAGAGGAAGCACATTGGCTTGGAACGTAGTAAACGAAATCATCCAACGATTAAGAGAAAGAAGATAAAGATTATCAATTTCAGAAGTTTCTTCAAATACTAATATTTCTATGGTCCACTCACTCTTTCAAACCTCCCTATCCAATTTCTTTTTGTTTCTTTTCCTTTTCAATTTTTCATTAGAGATGGACATCTTGTAAAAAGTAACATTTATTTTAAATGGTTGGAATTGATTTATAAACACCATCTACCGGTCTTAACATTTTTTCTCTTTTTTTTCTCGTGTTGAAATTATTAATCAGTTTGCTTAAATATATGAGTATTGGGATCAGTTGAAAATTAAAACAAATAGATTTTTAGATAATAATTTAGTAATAATGTCATAAGTCTAACAAATATCAGTGTTTTAAAATATTGTGTTCCTATAATATTTTAATAATATAATTATATAATTTAATGCCCCTCCTATTTTGATATTTTTGGATATTTGTTTATTATTTGGGTTAATGGACTTGCAAAGTTTTGATGGTTGTTCTTTGTTTATAATTTTTTACCAATTAGATAAAATAAAATATTCAAATAAATTTTTATGTGATGATTCTCATAAAAAATTTTGAAATATTTCTGATTGTTCTTGAATGATTATTTATGTAAATTATTTAATAATATAAGATGAAAATAAGATTTTATTCTGTTTATTGTTTTATGTTCTTTTGATAGATAAAGTACACGGAGAACATACATTTAGTTTAGAAGGAAGATGTTGATTTTTACAAATGGAGATGTATTTCTTTTTAAATTATTATTCTTATAAAAATCGGTTATATTTAAAAAATATATTTTATTGTCCTTTAATTCTTTATTATTTATTTATTTATTTATATGTCCCTCCCATACGTGAAATCTACTATCGATTTTTGTTGGTGGTGAAACTTCATATTTGGGGGAACTGAAACTGGGCGGGGAAATTCAAAATACCTACAAATATTCATTTTATCTTATGATGACAACTACGCATAGTCATTCTAACCGGACCCTTCTTAAGAAGATAGATTCAGCTCAGTCATTCACTTGCCCAGACGGTGACCTTGGAGATAGAAATATTCTTCACGGTATGGTTTCTTACCCTCGAGCAACCCAACTTTAACTAGCTTTGTGTATGGCCAGTGTGTACCCTCCTCGTAAATCTTGGACATCTTATAGTGAACATGTGTCAATACATTTTACAATGACATTCTTTTGTTGTGGATTTTGAGAAAGTGTCAGCGGGTGATATATTTTAATGAAATTATTGTATTTGAATGTATTAGTGTCAAATGTTGATAGTAGTACTAGTACCTTATTTAATTCAAGTAAAACTCGACTTCTTAACAATTCTAGTGCTTTAGTAAAGGGCTACGTTGAAATTGTTAAGATTTTCAGTATCTTACATGCTGAATTATCTTGTATGGTGAATGTTGTGGATAATTCAAGTGTGAGTTAAGTCCCACATTGAATAAGAATGAGAAAGTTGAACAACATTTAAGGAATTATGACCCATAACCCAATGTCTTAAGGTTTTTGGTTAGATTATTGCAGGTAGCATAAATTGTCTCGTGGCAGAGGCCGGATGTGCCGAGTCACAATCGAATCGTGGCGTTTGGACTGTTACTCTCAAGGAAAAAGAGTTATGCTCTGACTAATAGTTATATCTTTTGTCCAAATGATAAGCGCTTGATCCTAACAAGTGGTATCAGAGTCAAGGTCACGAGTTTGATTCCTAATGGGTAATTGTTGAGGGGGAGATTAATGTGGGTTGCACAATTGTCAAGCGCTCAATCCTAACAAACAATTTGTATCAGAGTCAAGGTCACGAGTTCAATTCCTGGTGGGCAACCTGCATAAACCAATACTAACAAACGTGTAACTAATAGGTTGATCCTTGAGTAAGAATGAGAAATTTTTGCACAGTAATAGCACCAAGCACCCCATCTTGACACACAGTAGAGATTTCATTTTCAGGTAACACAAACTTGCGCATGAATTTACCAACCCTTCTCTCAATTATGATATACTTCGCCCCTTCTCTCAATTATGATGCAGTTATGCTTCGACTGACGAAAGGCGTCAGTGCTATGATAAATGGAGTGTCTAGATAAAGACTCTCCTCAAAGTCCAAGATTGTTGGGAAGTAGTAAAGAAATATTTGAAGAACCAGAAACCACAGAAGGATAGGTGACCTCCGCTCTCAAAGCATTGGAGGAGCAACCTTCGAAGAATAGTGTAGCTCTATTTATGTTGTTTCAAGCTGTAGAAGATTCCGATTTTTGAGAAGATTGTAGAAGATACATTAGCAACCAAAGTGTGGGATGTGTTGGAGAAGGAGTACAAACGATAACTGAGTCACACGAATTCGGTAACAAACACTCTGTAGCGAGATGGAAAATATGAGAATGAAGGAGTCGGAAAGAGTTTCCATATACATCTTATGTGTTGAAAACGTGACAAAACAACTTAATCAGAATGGGAAGGTGTTTTTCACAAAAAAAATTGTTGAAAATCTTGAGATCATTAACAGATGAATTTGAGAATGTAGTGTGCGCGATAGAGCAAGCAAAAGGCTTATCCGAGCTTACAATAAAAGAGTTGGTTGGTTCTCTTCAAGCCTATGAACATCGAAAGAAGAAAAAGAAGGAGAAGACGACTGTGCAATTGCTCCAAAACAAGGCAAAAGAGGGGAAAACTCTCTATTCTTAGAATAATAGAGGTAGAGGATGAGGACGCAGTGGCCAAGGTCAAGGTGGACAATCTAGCCAAGGAGGCCAAGTTAGGAAGAAGGAGTTCAGCAAAAGTGGCGAGGTAGAGGACATGGTCGAAGAGGATGTCGGTCAAGGAGCCCAAACATCAAGTGTTTCAAGTGTGTTAAGTATGATCACTATGCAAAGGATTGTTACTCGAACAAATGTTTCATCAATGGAAAGGTGAGACATTTTGCCAAAGAATGTCAAAAGGTGGTGAGACCTATCTCACAGAAAGAATAGAAGAACTAACACTCATGATGATTAATTACAATTCAACGATACATAAGGAAGAAGATATTGATCATAACACGACAATATAATTGGGATTAAATTACAAGTCAAACAACTCGATTTGGGTCCTAGATACGAGAGCGAGTAATCATATGTTTGGCGATGAACATCTTTTTAAAGAGTTAAAGTGAACAAATGATGGTAGTGTGTCGTTTGGAGACACTTCGAGAGTCTCAGTAAAAAGCCTAGGAACGATCTATTATTTGCAGAAGGATGGACTAGTTGGGACGATCCAAGATATGTATTTTGTTCCTGATCTCAAAAGCAATATTTTGAGTATGGGGCAATTGATGTCGAAAAGATACTCAATTTTCATGAAAGACCGAGTACTACAGTTGAAGAACAAGCTTGAAAGGTTGATTGCTCGAGTTGAGATGGAGAGGAACAAAATGTACAAGTTGCAATTGAATAGTATTCGGGAGAAGTATCTAAAACATAATTTGGAGGACACAGTATTGATTTGACATAATTGGTTTAGCCCTATGAGTTTTGGAAGGCTAGCCGAGTTGTCAAATAAAAGTATGGTGCTCGGACTGTCGAGCTTGGAGAATGAAAAAAGATTCAATGAAGATTATTTTCCTGGAAAGCTAGCAAGAACCCCTTTTTTGAGGAGTGTTGAATACCGAGCAAATAAACAACTCGGGTTGATTCATAATAATTTGTGTAAACCGATTGTCCCTAAGTCATTCAATGGTAAGAAATATTTCATGATATTCAGTGATGACTTCTCTAGGAAAATGTGGGTATAGCTATTAAAAGAGAAATCCAAGGTGTTTGAAGTGTTCAAGAAGTTTAAGGTGATAGTTGAAAATGTGATTAAGTGGCATATCAATTTAGATCGATCTGACAGAGGAGGAGAATTTATGTTGACAACTCTCATAAAATACTATAAAGATGAAGGAATAAGGAAATATCTAACAGCCCTGTACTCACCACAACAAAATGGTGTGGCTAAGAGAAATAATCGAATTGTTCTTAACATGGTCCTAGGTATGTTGAAGGCCAAAAATATGCCAAAGGAGTTTTGAGCAGAAGCAGTGTCATGTGCTATTTATGTACAAAATAGGTGTTCACATGCAAAGTTAGATTATATAACACCACAACAGGCATGGAGTGGTAAAAAACTAATTGTGTCTTATCTCAAAGTGTTTGGAAGTGTAGCCTATGAAGTAGTTTCGTCTCAACAACGGACTAAACTTGAAGACAGGAGTAAGAAGTATTTGTCCATTGGTTATGATGAAAGATTTAAAGCTTATAAGTTGTTAGATTCGATTAGTAAAATGATGGTTATATGTTGATGACATACTTATTATTGGGAAAGATTATAAAAGGACTATTTCCAATCATTGTGTCTTTGTTAAAAAAAATTATGATGATGACCTTATTATCCTGTTGTTATATGTTGATGACATACTTATTATTGGGAAAGATATTTCCAAAATTGATAGGTTAAAGAAGCAATTAGGCGAGTCATTTTCTATGAAAGACATGAGAGCTGCTAAAAAGATACTTGGCATAAGTATCTCACATGATAGAAGTGAAAAAAAGATTTGTCTATCATAGGAGCACTACATTAAGAAGGTGTTGCAGAGATTCCAGATGAAGAATGCTAAAGTAGTGAGCACTCCTCTTGCATCTCATTTTAAATTGAGCGTTAAGCAAAGTCCTTCAAATGAAATTGAGAAATCATATATGAGTATAATTCCTTATGCATCTGTAGTGAGTAGTTTGATGTATGCAATAGTATGTACTAGACCTGACATTGTACATGTTGTTGGTATTGTTAGTTGTTTCTTGTCCAATCCAAGTAGAGAGCATTAGAATGCTATGAAATGTATTTTAAGGTATCTTTATGATACTAGTGATTTGAAACTTTGTTTTAGAGGTAATAAATTTATTTTGATGGGTTACTCAGACTCAGATATGGCTGGAGATATTGATTCTAGAAAATTCACTTCAAGCTATTTGATTAAGTTTGTAGGGGAAGTTGTGGCTTGGCAATCAAGATTGTAAAAGTGTATAACATTATCTACTACAGAAGCAGAGTTCATTGTCATTACAGAAGCATACAAAAAGTTGCTATGGTTAAGAAATTCTTGCAGGAGCTTGGTTTTGTACAGAATAATTATTCATTATTTATGGACTGTCAGAGTGTTATTCATCTGGGTAAAAATCCAACTTTTCATTCTAGATCCAAATAGATTGATGTAAGGTATCATTGGATACGTGATGTTTTGAATGCTAAGTTGTTAGAATTAGAAAAAGTGCATACAGACGACAATGGTACTGATATGATGACTAAGGCATTGTCAAGGCAGAAATTTGAAAATTGTTGTAAGATCACCGAATTGGTGATCACCTCCACATAGTTGTGAGGGGGGAGATGTGTTGGGTTAGACTCCCAACTATATGTCCAAAAAGATCCAAATTAGTCATGTCCATTTTATCAAGTGGAGAGAAATCTGTTAGGTAGAGAGAATTTTGAAGCCTTTGAAAGAAAAAAAGAAAAGAAAACAATTTCACTCATTTACCAAGCCGTCTCAATAAAATTATGATTGTTACTTAGTTCACCGTTAGATCGAGCTGGAATTTTGATAGTAGGTTCGTGGTGTAAGGTCTTCATTTTGACCATTAATATCGTTAATTGGAAATCTATGATTGGAGATATCAGTCTCGCACTTTGACTGATTTTAAGATTTCTTTTCTTTGTTATTTGTATTTGAGAGCATTGTTATTTTGATATTGTTGAATATAGAAGAAATAGAGTTTAAGATTAATCTCCCTTGTGTATAAATCACACATAGGGTAGTCTATTTATAGTAGAGAGATACAACTAAAAGAGAAACTGAAAGTAACAGAATAAACGAGAAGATATTGTTTGATATTATGGTTAATATCTAACAATATTTTAACAATATTAAATAATATCTAAATAATATCTAACACTCCCCCTCAAGCTGGAACATACAAATCGTATGTGCCAAGCTTGTTACAAATATAATCAATTCTAGGACCCCGTAAAGATTTAGTAAAAATATCTGCTAACTAATCACTTGAGTTAACAAACTCAGTCTTGATGTCTCCAGACATAATCTTTTCTCGAATGAAATGACAGTCAATCTCAA